AAAAAAAAACGGCCACAAAAAAGAAATGTCAAAATAAATTAAGTTGATTGCATGTCTCAAACTCCACAAGAAGATAGTAGGTTCATAGTGATATGACTCTCCTATTTACCTTTAGCAAAACCAGTATCAAACCCCAACATCTGAATCTCCTAAAAAAATGCCTTCCCCAATCTTCTAGCCTCTAGTGCAGTTTATTCCAGTTTTCCCATAATATTGTATCACAATAATACAAAGATTTGTTTGGAATTGCAGAATGCTCCTCATTGAGAAAAAGGAAGAAACTTGTAGGTAGAGCAAGAAACATCTTTAGAGAGAAGGAGATAGGGAAAGGCTGAAACCATTGGTATTTTTATTTTGGCTTTCAAATCTACAAGCTTCAGCTACCATAGGGCAGAGAACAGAGAGAAGAACCACAGAGGTATGTTGGACAATGAGTATTGTCAATGGAGTAGTGAAGCAACTTAGTAACATGGGAATCAAAGAGAGAAAACTTTTTCTGCTTTATTAATGTTTTGTGACTTAAGCTCTGATAGAAACAAATCTTAGAGATTATAAAAAGGACATCAGACAACATAGATGGACATAGAGGGTATTATATGGAATGAAATAAGTCAGACTGAGAAAGGCAAATAACATGATTTCACTCATAAGTGGAATCCAAAAAAAACATAAACCAAAACAGAAGGCCACAAATGAACAAACAAACAAAAAGCAGAATCAGACCTATAAATACAGAGAACAAACAAATGGTTGCCAGAGGGTGGGGTGTGCAAAATGGGTGAAGGGGAGTGGGAGATACAGGCTTCCAATTATGGAATGAATAAGTCACAGGAATAAAAGCCACAACATAGGGAATATAGCCAATGATATGATAATAGCGATGTTTTGGGACAGGTGGTAGTCATACTTATGGTGACCATAGCATAATGCATTGACTTGTTGAATCACTATGGTGTATGCTTGAAACTAATGTAACACTGTGTGTCAACTATGCTGAAATAAAAATAAACACATAAGTAATATATACTTACATACATACATACAAATTAAGAAGGTATGAATCTGAGTTTTGTATTCTGGCTGAGTGCAGTTTTCTCAACACATCTGTTGTTTGGAGATACTAATTTTCTCTTTCTTTTTCAACACTGATCAATTAAATCAATGAAATATTATAATAAGCTTTTATTGCCCACTACCTTAGTAAATAAAAAATAACTGATGTCTGCTGGTAATTTATAAATTATGAATAAGTAGCTCTTCTCCAATAAATAATTTCTGAAATGGCTTAGGATCAAGGCAAATGTTTTATGTAGTCCACTATCTGTGTTACCTGTCTTCATTATTCTCTAGAAATGCTTCAATCCTGATATAGGTAGAGGTGTTGACCAGATAACTTTATGCTACCTTCATTCTTCCATGCTAAGATTCTAAAATCCAAATATAAAAATGAATGAATTTAAAATGAATATTTCAAAAGGGCATAATCCCCAGTTTGAACTAATTATCCCATAAATCCTATTTTGTTATTTTTGTTGGGTTCCTTGGTTTCTTAATTTTCTATTTAGTGTTTAGAATCTCAGGGCTGGTTTTCTCCTTGCATTTATTTAGAGCTTTTATTTTGTATATGCCAACATTTATTTCTGTATTCAGTACTAAACAGGTTCTTTTCAGTGAGTACTTCTACTCCCCTTCCACTGCCCCCAGCAACTTCCTTCAGATCCATCAATGTTAATGGTCTCTGAATTTATAGCTTTTCAAAAAGGTAAATCTGCCAAACAAGAAAAAACACATTGCTCGATTGATTTAAAGTGATTTCAGAGGCTGTCAAGATAAAGATTTAGATGACATAAACAAACAAAGAAATATTAACGGATCAAGAAGTCATAATTGAAACATAGGAGTGAATATATTGATCTGATTAAAAATGACTTAATTATTTTATAAATGAATCCTTTCTATATACAGCCATAGCCCAATTGCATTTTACAACTTTCTTCCTTCCTTCCTTCCTTTCCTTTCCTTCCTTCCTTTCCCTTCCTTCCTTTCCCTCCTTCCTTCCTTCCTTCCTTCCTTCCTTCTCTCTCTTCTTTCTCTCCTTCCTTCCTTCCTTCTTTCTTTCTTTCTTTCTTTCTTTCTTTCTTTCTTTCTTTCTTTCTTTCTTTCTTTCTTTCTTTCTTTCTTCTTTCTTTCTTTCTTCTTTTAAATAAGCTCTATTTCCAACTTGGAGCTCAAACTCAAGACCCTGAGATCAGGAGTCCCACACTCCACCAACTGAGCCAGCCAGGCATCCTGCATTTTACAACTTTTTTAAACATTCTGAGCAGTATGGCTGTTTAAAAGTTTTATTTTTACTGATTTATACGTGTTGTAATAGCAGCTATGTATTGTGCACTCATTCTTTGCTAAGAATTATATTAGCATTAAAAAGGTTATTTTACTGAATCTTACATTATGGCCTATGTAATAGGTATTATTAATCTTGTTTTACCAATTAAAAAAAAAGTACTTCCAAAGGGTAAGGTAAATTTACCAATTCCACGTAAGTAATAAACATCAAATCTGGCATTCAAAGTCAAGTCCTTTGGTCTCCACAGTCCAAGACTATTGCCTTTACACAATGATAACCCAATAACTTGATTTCCAAATTTCAAATAGAAAATATACTAAAAAATATTACTTCTTTTTTTTGAAATTTTTTCTTTGATCTATTATGAGTTCATATAGAATTTTGGAATCTTAATGGACCCTTCTCTAACCTTTCATTTGACTTAGGAATCCTCTCTACAGTATTTTTTTTTTAAAGATTTTATTTATTTATTCATAAGAGACAGAGAGAGAGAGAGAGAGGCAGGCTCCCCGCTGAGCAGGGAGCCCGATGCGGGACTCGATCCCAGGACACTGGGATCATGACCTGAGCCGAAGGCAGACGCTTAACCATCTGATCAACCAGGCACCCTACTCTACAGTATTAGTGATAGATCTGTTGCTTCTTCTAAATGTTACTTTTTTTAAAATTTTATTTTATTATGTTAATCACCATACATTACATCATTAGTTTTTGATGTAGTGTTCCTAAATGTTTCTAATAGCAGTAAAGTCTTGTTCTTTTAAGGCATCTGTGTATCTACACCAATCAGAGGCCACTGTAATTTTTTTTTTCTCTATCACTGAGTAGATATTTGCCTTTATTAACAGCTACCCATCAATTCTAATTCTGCAGTAACCAGAATATGTAACAAAAGTCTCTATAAAACTGAGACTGAAAAGGAAGTAAGCAAAAGAGTAAGTAAAGCTTGGTGTATAGGTATTCTAAACACAAATAACAATAAATTCATGACAATATTCAATCCTAGGATGGTTGGGAAAGTGATTTATTTTCTTGCCTTAAAAATGTATAATCTGGAATCCTATCTGGGGTGCATTATTATTTTAATGCAATAATATTGTAGCAACAGAACCATGTAATACTAAGATAATCCTGTACAAAATGGGGAGAATTGTTCTGAGTCAGATGTAGCTAAGGTTATCCGGTGAGGAAATCATTTTAAATCAGGTGCAGGAGTGCCAAAATGCAAAACAATAATAATAATAATAATAATAGTTTCAAAACATTCCATGTGACATTTGATAATATAAAACAATAAAGAAGACATTTCTGGCATAGACAATGTTTGGTGGAAATTCTTTGGAAGGACTAATAAATCAAATATATGACATAATGTTCCACATTATCAGCATTCTTATGTAGAATAGCCAGTAACTTTTTGATAGTATGTATAGTTCATGAAACTGAACAATTACAAAGAAGGCAAACATGGTATTTACTTTTTATACTATTGAAAATCTATGAGCGCCTGGGTGGCTCAGTTGTTGGGCGTCTGCCTTCGGCGCAGGTCATGATCCCAGGGTCCTGGGATCGAGTCCCACGTCGGGCTCCCTGCTCGGCGGGAAGCCTGCTTCTCCCTCTCCCACTCCCCCTGCTTGTGTTCCTGCTCTCGCTCTCTCTCTCTCTGTCAACTAGCCAGTTGTTGCAGGACTGGACTCGAGTTGGAGGAGACTGAGGGATTAGCCCTGCATGAAAAGTGTCATTGATGTGCAGGGCAGGAAAGAACTAAATGCAGGTGTAAGTTGTACATTATTCACCTGAAGCAGTTCACATTGATTTAGTCAAAGTGTCTGATCTAATATATAATAGTTCTAATCAAGACAGGGGCAGACACCACTGTGGAACATTTAGTTACCTTCCTTTGATCATCCAACCCTTTCTATGTTCATCTTTCATCTTACTTGTTCAGAACCTGTCTTGTATCTTCCTTTCCTTTCCTATTTGTGCCTACATTTGCCTGTATTGCCAGCACCAGAATCGATCTCACCGCATTCATCCGCACTTTCCCGAAGCCGGTGTGCGGAGTTCCCGTGGAGTGCATGTCTGAATCACAAGCTAGTTTCAGCCCCGCCACTTCCTAAGTGTGTGATCTTGGGAAAGTGACGTACGTGTTCAGGCTTCTCTTTACTCTTTTACTAAATAATATTGTATTTCTGTGCACCAACTTAATCATCTTGAGAATCTATTAAGGCAATTTGTGCTATTGTTTACATTTTACGAATTAAGTAAAGAACTTGCCCAGGTTTACAAAACAACTGACAATTTGCAGAGATAAGAATCTCTCCCAGGCAATCTAGCTCTAGAGTCCAGTAATCTTGACCATTGTGCTCCATCACTTCTGTAATATTCCCTAGCTGCTGGAACTTTGAAGCTTTTTTTTTTTTTAACTTTGAATCTTAATACTATCAGGCTTTATGTTTTAAAGGGAATGAAATTTTATGCACTCGTCTCTATATCACAGGAAACTGTGTAATTCAGATTATCAAAGTCTTTAACCTTGTGGGAATAGTCAGAGCAAAATAACAGATAATATCCAATCTGTTTGGTTATATGAGTGTTTTGTTTGCTGAGCGAATTCAAATTTTACTTTTGTTTCATTTCATTTTTCATTCAGCAGTTGGAGCCATTCTTGGACCTTCCTCCATGACTCCTCCTGAACTTGTTTCCCGAATTAGGACTCCATTAGCTGTGAACTGGGTAGGAGAAAACATCTGTCAGAAGACTCTAGCTCACATTGGAACCATCATGTTATATGTAATGGGATAATGAAATAGGTAGCCTTTTGGACTTCCATCCTAACATAGGATTTCATCATCTATAATAATTCCTATAATTATTATTTGTAATGACAGTAATTCATAGTAGATCAATAATAATTTGAACTAAAATGTATATCTCTATCCCATTGGAGTTATCTGGACTATCATGTTAAATGTAACCACACTCCCGATTAATCTCCTTCCATTTGGCTTCTTCAATCTATCTTTTGATTTCTGAATAGCCTCAAGAGATGCTTTTAGAAAGACTTTCTAACTTTTGATATCCACAGGGAGGTGGCTTGCAACTGCTATATGATACTCATGGGAGATGCTGCTAATTGGTCTCCAACAATAGCCCTCTTTGGAAGAAACCAGTCTTTATTGTTACCATTGGTAGTGCCAGCATTGTGAAGAAGAACATGAGTGAAATTCTTACACATTATTCAAAGAAGTAGCTGAAAATACCCGAGACTCCTCTCTGAACCTCCGAGAAGGTATCCCCATCCCCTCCCTTTGTTTGCCTTTTTGCGTTGAGCATTCTTTCCAGTCATACAGTAGAAACCGACCAGGCGTTTATTCGTGATTATGGCTGGTTTGCACATTTCAGGACTCCCCAGGCTGTGGAAGGGATGGTCACAATCCTAAAACCAACACATTACCCAGCACTTCCCGTGCTCTCACTTAGCATGCCTTCATGAATGCATAGACTTTTTCATTTTCCTGATTGAGTCCCCAGACCCATTATTAGCACGTTACGATTTACAAGAGAGTAGGTTTTTTTAATAACAACACTGAGAAAGCAAAACCCATTTGTTCATCTGAAGAGGTTTGAGAGCACATTATAAACACAGGGTGGTCAGAATAAAAACTGACACAAGTACACGGTCCATGATTGTTCCTAATCGAAGAAAACACCAAATTAGAGCCAAAAGGCTGGGAGACAAATTGTCTACCACAGTAAATCATTCTCATAAATATAATTATTTAGAACATTTGAACTCTATTTAGGGATATAAACAGTGATGTGGGTTTCACAAGGAACACTAGACAGCTGGTTGGCTTTAAATCTTAGTGGCAACCACACTGGAGGCTGCCAGGGGCTTCTACTGTTCCCTTTTAGCTAAAGGCAGGATTACCGAAGCCGCATTATATCCTCCATCTCATTTTCAGCTCTATCGCACCAATTATGCTGCATTGAGGCTTACAGGGGCTTACATTGAGTCTCAGATAGATGGAAGAAGCCAGTCTATATTCTTTGTGATAAAAATAGTCATTAATTACTGAGACTTGTAAACCGCTTAGCATCCTTCTTAATGTGGCCCATCAGGTGCTTCTCATTCTATAGCTAATCAGCAAAAAAGGAGAAAAATCCTCGGGAAGAAGATGATCTTTTTTGGCTCAAATAGAAAGCCAAGGTTAAAAATAAATCTAAAATACACTGTAAATCTAAGCCAATGTGCACTCACTGGCAAAATACCGTCTTGTTTTCTTCTCAATCAGTGTTGATGAGAGAAAAATTTCTTATGACGTTGTCCCATGGGAAAATTAATTATCAATATAATTTTTTTTCCCCTCTCTGATGGAAAACAATGCATTCTGAGGATTTGGATGCATGAAAACACATTTACAAAGAGCTCAAATGGAGTTAGATAATTATCTAATTAAGGAAAAGTGAAATGTCATAGGAATTAATGAGTAATTCAGGAGAGAGGGAACCCAACTAGTGAAGGGTCTGCTGAAAGCCACAATGAATAGGTTCACCTCTGAGTGGACAGCTTAACTATGCTGGCAGAATTTCCGGGTAGCCATTTCAGAATAGACTGCCACATCCAGTATTTTAATTTTTAACAATAACCTTATGTTTAATTGGCAAAAATACCTATTGGGCTCCTTCGTGAAGGCACACAGAATCATGGGGTAGTAAACGTCAGCGTGATGAACTGTAACAGCCTTCATTTGGTAGACGAAATGCAGGTAAATGGCCTTTGTGTGTAAAAGTATCCCACAGGTTGGAAAGATAGAAAGCATGTCGCTAGGGAGTATAAGCACGTATGGAGGGTTTCTTTCTTTCTTTTTTTTTTTAAAGATTTTATTTATTTATGTGACAGAGAGAGAGGCAGCGAGAGAGGGAACACAAGCAGGGGGAGTGGGAGAGGGAAAAGCAGGCTTCCCGCCGAGCAGGGAGCCCGATGCGGGGCTCGATCCCAGGACCCTGGGATCATGACCTGAGCCGAAGGCAGACGCCCAACGACTGAGCCACCCAGGCGCCCCGGAGGGTTTCTTTCTTTAAAGTGCATATTTTATAAGTAAAAACCATGCTTTAAGGAATGCTGTACAACCACATTTCATGCATTTTGATATGACTAATATTTGTGAATGGAAGTACCGTTTTTCAAAGCAATGGGCAAAGAAAATTGGAGTGATGGCATATTGACTAAGTTGATTTTTATAAAAGCCTTGTAGAAGACTTTAAAAATGAACAGTATGTGCAAAGGGGAAAAAAAACAACTAGGAAAGAAATTACAAGTGGGCTTCACTACATTACAAGCTTGAGATTGCTTATTAAATACATAACTTGTTTTTCTGTTATACCAGTCATTTTACGTAAGTGTGTGATTTGGCTCCCATTTATAATGTGTAACTGCAGCGTGCTTCCACAGTGCCACGGGGAATACTTGTTACGAGTTGAATATTTGGTTAAAATCTCTGGAAAAATTCCAGAAGCATCTACATACCCATGGCAGCTTTGGGTAAGCAGCTCTTTTTCAGTTCACTTCTCTCCTTGGCAAGTCGGGAGAAAACAACTGCCCTCCAGACACAGGGCAGATAATATATCCCCATTTCCTTTCTTTCCACTCCATGTTTTTATGAATCGGTGGTATCTGTATTTGGAAGTAATTTAAATTTCCACTGCTCCTTAAGAAGAAGCTGCTTTAGAATCTGTCTGTAAAATGTTGAGCTATTAGTGTGCACTGTATTTATATATAGTTATTTTAATCATAAATAATTATAGCATTTAAAGCCAACAGTGAAATATTGACTTCTTGGTACAATTTCTATGTAAAATTCCATTGCAAAACAATTCTGAGGGGCAGGGAGGGGTGGAAAAGAAGTATCAAAACAGATAAGCAAGAAGAAATTTGCCCAAAACATAGAGAAATGGGTCCTTCATATATTATACCAAGTATAGATTCTGGCACAAATTTTATGATGGACAACTGTAGAAAGTAATGCATATATATATGCAACAGGTTTTTTTTTTTTTTCCATTTTAAAGCCTCACTGGAGAAAATGATATATATAGCCTTTAAATGTAATCATTGATTTATTATAAAAGAGGTAAAGACACCCCCAAAGGGAGCCAGAAATGGGACTCAATGCTGAAAGAGTAGAGAAGAAACATTTAAACGTGTTCTAGGACTGTTTATTTTCTAACTGCTTTGCTATGACTTGCACAATTTAAAAGGCTTTGCAGGAACAGTCTGTTAGCAGAGGGAACACAATATTATTTTTCATAAAAAGAAAGCACACAGAGAATGTAGATGATACAAAACACTCTTTTCTTTTCACATTGTCACTTCTTAGTGGACACAGGGTGTGCCTCGGTAAAATGGACATTCAAAACCGTCTCTTTCTCTGACATATTCTCTTTTTCTTTGCTGCTTCCCAACCCCCATACCCTAGTTTCTTCTACATCTTTTCCAATTGTGTGCGTCTTCTTCACCAGGATCTTGGGGACTTGGCTTCATCCCTGCAGGGAGCTTTAAAGTTAAGGTCATGTGGAAAATCCTGGGTAGGCTCAGGTGTTGTTGACAGCAACTGTGTCCTCATGTCTTTGGTAGGAGTAGGCCTAAGTCTTTAAATAATCACAGTGAAACATCAAAAGACCTCCTTATCATCAAGTGTGAGAAAGCGAAGGAATAAGAAGAGCAGAGAACTTCTACCTGTCGCCCTCTTCCTCTAGTGGTCTTCCTTGAGTTTTTGGACCAGATGCCACTGTTTATCTTTCCTCAGTGAGTGGATTTGTGTTTTTGGAGTTGGAGTAAGACACCTAAGCCCCACATACCATACTTGGTAGATCTTAGGTCAGTTATGCATGGAACTGAAAAAACAGCAAACTAAAGCAAGTAAAAGAGAACATTATTGACTCACATAATTGAAAAAACCTGGGCACAATGGGCACAATGTGGTCTGAGGCAGAAACATTTTCATCATGGACTAAATATCCTCCATATTGTTTGACGTATTTCTCCTGGTTTTGGCTTCCTTCTTCAGCTTCAAATGTCACAAGATGGCTGTCAACCCTCCAGAGTAAAACTCTTGCCCTATATGATACCCCAACCCCTGTGGTTAATATCTTGTGCCTTGGGGGGAAAAAAAAACCCGAAAAACTTGAATATCTGATGAAAGAATAGCTTCTTTCTGCTGTTTGCAACTCTGACTCTTCCTTCTGAAACTTTTACCCATCCATCTCCCTCATCTAGCAAGGAGCAAAGATAAATGTGGGGTGGTGAAATCATAGCTTTTGTGGCTTATAGCATGGAATAGCCCTAGGCTGCCAGCCTTCTTCTATAAGGGAGATGGTTCTCTATCTTTGGGAGATGGCTGGCAGCACATCTACACATGTCTTATCAGCTTGTTGGGGCCTATGAAACAGAGCATCTGTATTGATAGTGCTTAATCTTGATTGACAATGAATTATAAAATTAGGAAATGTAAAAGCCTTCTTCTAGTGCTTTCCCATTGGGTCTAATTCAGCCCTGGTAAGGACCTAGGAAAGAGGGTTATTTTCAATTTGAAAGATACCCTCTATACATACTTCTTGCTGATCAAATCAAAGCTTAACCCAGTTTATGAATAATTTAACTTCCCTGATGCCATGCAGACATTAACCAATAAAGTCCACAGATTTCCTGTATAGAAGGAAATATTCCAAGTTTCACTTTCCTGAATGCCTACTAGATATCCTCTTCAAGAATGTATTCATGATCTGGAGGCCTGGCTCCTGCTGACACAAAGAACCTACAGGAAAATTTCCTCTAATGAAATTATGACAGGTTGCTAGATATCAGCAGAAGCTTTGATGGATCAGCTACAATGACTACTGAACCCCAACATGTGTTTAGTTCTTCAAAGTTGTCCAGAGCACATTTTGTTATCTAGGAGTAACGAGAAAAGGCATACTTCTACATTCTCTTTCATCTAAGGGTTAGGAAATAACTAGTCCAATAGAGCAGGTTTGAACTGACAAGGAGTGGCAGTGATGATGTTATAGCTGCTTTCTGAAAGCGTGTTTGAATCCCTGGCTATTTCTTAGTAGGCAGAAGGTTAGATATTTAGTTTTTGAATTTTTATTTTGTTTTGTGTGGGTTTTTTTTTTTCCCCCAGAATAGAGTATCTACAGGCAATAAACCTTTCTTGGGCCTAAATTGACTACCTCTCCTGCTTAGATTAAATGAAGTTACTCTAGCTCCCTCCTACCAGGGGCGTAACAAAATATGACTGGAGAGGAATGAGTCTCTTTCCACTACAGTTTATTTATTAATCCCACAAATATTTATTCAGGGCCTACTAGATATACCATCTGTATACAATAGAAATATATTCCCTGACTTTATATATAATATGGATATTAAGGTCCTTTGGTTTACTGAAACATTTTTGTTTGTTTGTTTTTGGATCTTTCTGAAGTTCAGATGAGAACTAATACTACCAGAAGAAGAGACTTGCTATGCCCTGGGGGAAGCCAGTGCCACCAAGTGGGAACTGTGGGTCATCTTCAGTCACAACCAACCATCAACACTAGTCAGCATCTGAGCACCATGGAAAACCCTGAAAAATAAGAGCAGACCAAGGCTCATCAAATACAGGGGTCCTTGGGAGGATCGTGAATATTGGTATTGGGATTGGGATTTGAATTTGAATCTATACTTCTAGCTTGCCTCCAGAAAATCAAAGGTATATTGGTGGGAGTTAATTGGGATAAGGTTGATATTTGATTTGAGGTTTTACTTAAGTATCTTAAGAGTTTATTAATAAGCATTTCAAATAAAGTAATTTGTTAATGGAAAATTTAATTGTTTTGCTGAAGTTGATAATTTCAGATTATCTGAAATGTTCTCTGTCAAAGAAGAATATCATAGACTGTTGATGAAATATCATTGACTGCCTGCCTGGCTTGTTGGAGTCTGATTAATCAAAAGGAATCTGAAAATAACTTTTTAAAATTATGCAGTATAAGAAGGTGGTCAAATGTGTTTGTGATTTTGAATAATAAATATGTTTATAACCTTCATCAGTGGTTATCATAAAGAATTCCTTTACTAGCCCAAATGGAAGGTACATCAATAATTGGTATTTGGACACTTATGTCAGACATTGTAGTTCTTGTCCTCAAGGAATTCATATTTTCACAGGGAAGATTGACCTTATTAATTACAAAATGCCTAACATGTGTCAGACACTGTACTTAGTTCTAGGGAAACAATGATGAAAACAATTGATTTTGTCCCTGACCTCATGTTGCTTGGACTCCATTGTTGGGAGAGAGAAGGAGTCATAATTAATCAAACACCCCTGGGATATGTGGTGTCAAGAAAAGTTCATAGTTCTGAAGAGAGCATAATAGAGGGATTTGATCTAACTGGTGAGGATAGGAAGTGTTTCTGGGGACAAGATATTTAGCTGACATCTGAAGAATGCTTAAGATTTAATTAGGTAGCGGGAGGGGAAGAATGAAGCGGGGGAAATCGGAGGGGTAGACGAACCATGAGAGACGATGGACTCTGAAAAACAAACTGAGGGTTCTAGAGGGGAGGGTGGTGGGAGGATGGGTTAGCCTGGTGGTGGGTATTGAGGAGGGCACATTCTGCATGGAGCACTGGGTGTTATACACAAACAATGAATCATGGAACACTTCATCTAAAACTAATGATGTAATGTATGGGGATTAACATAAGAATAAAAAAAAAAGAGGAAAAAAATTGAGCAGAATAAACCAAAAAAAAAAAAAAAAAAGATTTAATTAGAAAAGATGGGAGAGACCAGCAGGCAAAATGTGCAGAAGCAGGTGTAGAGGTGCTATGATGGAAGGAAACAGATCCTTCCTGGAGTTGAGAGAGTTGGAAGAGCAATGTGAAGTAAAGGGCATATTAAAGATTTTGAATATTGTCCTAAGAGTTCTGAGAGCCTTCCGACGTGTTTAAAAGCAGAGTGTGTTATGTTGAAATTGTTATTTCATTAAGATTTTTCTTGTGGCCATAGATGAATTATAGATTTACACAAGTATGAGCAGAACTTTCAGGCAATCCTTGCAATATCTCAGAAGAGAAATGATCATCGTGCAGAGCAGTGGAGGTAGAGATAGGAGTCCTGTATACAGATCTGAGAGATATTTAGAAGTTCTAATCATTAAGATGTGGGGCTTGAACTCACAACCATGAGATCAAGAGTTGCATGCTCTACCAGCTGAGCCAGCCAGGTGTCCCTTGTGTATGAATTTTGGAATTTTGATTGCAAATGACAGAAATCAGCTCGGGTTAAATTAAGCAGAAGTTAATTTATTGGGCAAATAAGGCAATTACCGAAGTAGTGGAATGCTACCTGTGAACATAGGACTTGGAAATAAGCAGGTCAATTAGCCCCTGGAGGCTAGAAAGCAAGAAGCACAACAAAAGTCTAGGGAGAGTAACAATCTGGGTGAGTTATAGCTTTTAGAGTGGATGGATTCCAATTATCTCTGGTCTCTCTGTCCTGCTCACGAGAAAGCATCTGATTGGTCTAGCTCAGGTTCTATGCCATCTACTGAATATGGCAATGGCAGACCATACTGGAGAAGGTACTTTCTCAAAAGAATCTCAAGATTCAATTCAAAAAGGGAAGTGAAATCGGAAAAGCCAAAAACTAATCTCTGCTACACCGTGGAAAGCATTTATCTTTCTCTCTCTTAAGTGTTCACTGAAGCAATGCAGCAATGAGGTAACCCTTCCGAACATTTGTTTGATCATACATGTTAAAAGGCAGCACCTTCTCTTAATTGGCAGTGACCGTGAGTGAATTATTAATTGAGCTTATCCCTCTCTGCATCCTCTTTCCCTTCTCTTCACTTCACATATTCTAGGTTTGGCCAGGTTTATTCGTCTTGTTTTTGGCAACTACTAAATATGTTGCATTGTAGGGGGATGTTAGTTTGAGTGGAGGGAAGAACCTTTCTTTAGTACACAAATACAAGCCAGTTAAACATACAAGTAAACTTTAATAAAGTATGTTTACATGGTTGTCATAGTCAAATTGAATTCTAAAAGCACTGCATCATGATTCAGAGAAACAAAAACGTGGCTTTTATATATACTGCATTTTTCTCTCCAAGAAATAAGTGGTTCCCTATATTTCAGCCCTAACTGTTCCACAGTTACATACTTCAAAGAAGAGGCATTCATATCCCTGTTGATTTCCATATATTTCACAATACTGCCTCACCTTTCACAAAGACAATCCAAAGAGATTCATCAGAACTTACACAGTTGCATATGGAATAATTGTAAGAGTTTTGTTTGTGCCCATCACTTCCCTGTCAGTACAATTCTCCTCACTCCTCTCAGGAAAATACGAATCTCTTTCTGAACACAATTTTGGTTCCCTACTGTGTTAAGTAATTTATCTCCAGTTGTTGTCCCAAATCCTGCATCAAATTACCTAAGTTGTCAGTCAGGTTTCCACATATTGATTCAGCAAACTCAGCCTTGTGTCCTGCCCAACTCCAGCAGAGAGTTGATTGCTTTACTCCAAAATCCGTTGAAAAGTTAAATTGTTAACAATACAAATTCACTGGAAATTGGGATAACTCTTCGCCTTAGCTTCAGTCTCTTCACCTTGAGCCCTGAGCATTTAATACTCATCTCTGGGCAGCAGGGCAGGGAATTGGAAAGGAGAGTACTAATGCAGTTACTGCCCGGAGTCAAAGGAGTAGTTAGAGGTCGACTGACTCTGGCAGTGGGTGCAGGTGATGCTCAGACACCTACTGAGAGAGTCAATTAAATATAGCCTGCATTTCAGGGTCCCTGCTTATACCTGACCAAACAACTAAAGAGAAATACAAATAAATGGGCCCAGGAGTTAAGGGAGTCCTTTACTCTAACCCAAATCTTTGTCTTGATTCAGCTCTTGCTCCAAAGAGAAACATCACCTTGTAATACCAATTAGAAACATTGTTCTCTGGATTATTTTCATAATAGCTGATGAAAACCATATCTGTTTGCAAATACCATACCTTTATAAGAAGACACTAAAGCCTTAAATGGTTTTTTACTTAATGTTCAATTTGTAGCAAATATACTTTAGGAGTTAAGTGCTAGTGTTTAACCAGTTAAGATATTGTAAGTTAACTTGGGTGTTTAACAATGAGTTGTTTTGAAGAGTATTATAAGTGAGCAGGTGTTTAGGAGAGTGGATCATAATTTAAAGTGCTTGACTGAAAAATAGGAATCTTTTAATGGTTTTTATGTGTTGAAGTCTTTGGTAAAAGCTCTATATGAAAAAAAAAAATTAATCCAGCAAGGAAGAATAGTGCATTTGCATTGCTGTTGTTCACATGATCATGACATGAATCTTGAAGTTCAAAGGGAGCCTAGAGATCATTTATTTCATCCGTCCTTTTTCTCCATTTTATCTTCAGCAACTTTCCAACTTCTCCATCCTCTTTCTAACAAAAATCCTTAAAGGAGTCCTTGGTAGATGCAACCTTACTTTATCTTTTCTTACTCTCTTTATACCAATTCCAATCAGTATGTTGATGGTGCCACACCATAAAAATGCTCCACGAAGGCCACCAATGACCTCCACATTCCAAAATCCAATTGCTCTTTGTAATTCTCATCTTAGTTGATATCGCAAAGGGATTTTATAAAATTGATCCTATCCTCCTTTATAAAGCATTTTATTTGTTTGGCTTATGGCACACATTCTCTCTCGGTTCCTTTTCCTCATTGGCTGTTCATTCAGTTCCTCTTTGCCAACCTGACATTCTTATGTTGGAAGTCCACAGACATCTTTTCTCTTTTTATACTCTCTCCTTCCTCATGTTGTCCAATTTCATGGCTTTCCTACTTTGAACCCTAACAAAGAGTGAATGGTTATAAAATAATTATCCTTAGAGCTATGCTATATTAAGTGCATATTCCATCTCAGTCAATTCATATGCATTATCCACTTTACAAATATGCACTTTATCCCACTTACCTCAAGTACACCAGAGAATCCATGTACTTTGTCAGGTTTTTTTTTTTTTTTTTAAAGATTTTATTTATTTATTTCGCAGAAAGAGAGAGACGGTGAGAGAGGGAACACAAGCAGGGGGCCACTCCCTGGGAGTGGGAGAGGGAGAAGCAGGCTTCCCGCTGAACAGGGAGCCTGACGCGGGGCTCCATCTCAGGACCCTGGGATCATGACCTGAGCCGAAGGCAGACGCTTAATGATTGAGCCACCCAGGCGCCCCACTTTGGCCCAGGATGGGTACCATATACGTCAGATGCTTGTGAACTACCACATGAGTACAGGGACACCCTGAAAACACAGATCTAATTCACTTATTTGAGGAAATATACATAGGGCGCAAAGAAGGGAATGGTTGCTCCAGAGGGCTGGCCTCTACCGAGCATAGTTTTTTTGTTTTTTTTAGTTTGACTGGCCACCGATGCCCAACTAGAAGCTGAAGCTGGACTTAAAGAGTCGGAAGAAAAGCTGAGGAGAGAGAAGGACATGTGGTTGTCCACTACTCTGGTCACTTTGGGGCCAGCAGACAAGGTGTCAGAGCCGGATTAATAAGTTGGAGGATTTAGTGTGCTATGCAAAGCTAGGCGGGTGCAAGCTGCCACAGGTAAGGCCTGAGGACCTGTGACCAAGCCTGATTTCGACGCTAAGAGGTGGAATCCCTAGGAAAGCTAGGAGAGAGAAGACCAGGATGTTGAAGTGACTGACAGTGAAATGGCCCCGAATACAAAGGAAAGCCAAAACACAACAGCCCTAGCCAGCAGAGCAGTCCCCAGTGCAGGAAACGTTCATGATGAGAGAACATACTCCCACTGATCTTACTGATATAGCTGCCAAATTCTAGCAAAAGGCCAAGGAGAGTATCGAGGTATGGTTAGTGTGTCTATAGGGTACGGGGGCGACGCCATTTCTCTGACCAGACAGGAAGAAGGAAGAATGAGCAACACCACCATACACCCTGTCTTCTGGCAGCACCTGCATGGTGCTCAAGGTATTCAGGGCACTTACTCCCTTACAGATAACATTTTT